ATAACAAAAAATGACACAAGATGTTTCTGCCAGCCACTCAAATAATATGTATATTCAAGATTCAAAACGAAAAAAGTACTACTAGAAGTGATGATATTACAAAGACTACACATGACTTCTAAGACATTAGCATTGTATGGATTAAAAACCAAAAATGACTCTAATGTTGAGTCTGAAGCCGTTTTGAAGATCTTTGTGAAGATGAAGTTTTAGTTTTGATGTAGCATTTTTTAACTTTGTTTAAGTTTGCTTCATTTTATATTTTTTGGCCTATGTTAAAAGGATATTGTATTGATTGTTTCATAAGACTTAGACTTACATGTGTTTGCTTGTTATGATTTCAAAAACTTATATTATTTTAGTAAACATAACTCAATGTTTCTCATTTTATGCGAAAACATAATGTAATAGATTATCAAGTATTGATAATAGATTATAAAGTGTTTTGACATTAAATGAAACTTGATTCATTCAAAACAATTCAATATTAAGTCAAGTAATAGATTACCATTTTAGGTAATAGATTACTGAAACTTAGTTATGAAGTGGAATTCGAAGTTCTCTCTGTAATAATCGATTACCAATCAAGGTAATAGATTACCATGGGGACTTTTGAGTGAAAACAAGTGATTTTTGTATCGAGTTAATCGATTACCCTCCTTAGTATCGATTACCTCTGCATAAAATTGAGTTTTATGCTTGCTAAAGCTCGGATAATCGATTACCATGTTTGTTAATAGATTACCTCTATTCATTCTAGAATTAATCTAATTTTAGTTTTTAAAAGTCTAGTAATAGATTACTTGCATCGGTAATAGATTACAGTTGTTACAAAATTTTTAAATGCTGAAATCCCCTTTATAATATAAATATACCTCTTTCAAAAGCTAAAAAGAGAGATAAAAAAATAAAGAAAGAGATCAAATATACTTTGAAAAAAAAATTTAGAACAAGAAAATATCACATATTTTTTAGAAATAATACAAGTTATAAAGATAGATTAAAAAAGATGAGTTCTTGAAAGACTTCAAGAAGTTTATGAGCTAATCTTTATTCAAGATCATTCTACACATATCAGGTGTGATATTAAAACTTTGTTTGTACTATTGGGTTGTATTACTTTTTGAGATAGGGTGTCTAAAAAAGAGTTAAGATAAATCTTGAGATTGTTTTCCCTTAAATGGGTTCTTGTGGGGTGTAAGAATTTTGTGATTGTGAAATCTTGTGGAGTCAAGATTGTGTGATTTTCATTCATTTGATTGTAATATTACTTGTACATGGTGTGTAAAGAATATTATAGTGGAATGACTTGATTTAGTGGGGTGCTAAGTCATAAACTAGACGTAGGCCCTTGTATAGTTGGACTAGCTAGTATAGATCATTATGTATTTCTCTTTTAACCTTCATCTCTTGATATAATTCTTGTGAAAATTGTGAAAAATAATTTTAAGAAAATGTTTCTTTGAATGTTATCAATTGCTGATTCATATTCAATTTATTATATATATAATTTGGCAATAAAAGAAAAAGCAAAATACTAAAATCAATTTGGATTATAAATATTTTTTCTGGTGTGTGGTAAATCTGATAATTTGTATCTTTTACTAAGTTGTAATCTAAATTTGATTAATTGATATTGAGAAAAGAAAGAAGAGAATAATTTTTTTTAAAGAACATAGAAAATCATCTAAGTGAAAAATCTATTTAATCCCTCCTTCTAAATTTGTGTTCTATCGGGACCAAAATCTAACACATACTATTTCATGTGAAACATATACATGAATTAAGCAACATATTAGATGTCAAAATATAAAGGAAAACTTATAGAACAAGAATCCTAAAGTACAACATATAAAGTTGGTTCTTAGAAACTAACAACTAATCATGCTTTTGAACCAACAATTTTAAAACATTAGAGATATCATAATGTGCAAATAATTAGATATAAGAAACAATTACTACTAGACAATTAAGAAGACAACACAAGACATGTAAAATTTAGAGAAAACCTTCATGAAAGAACCAAAGCTCATGATACCAAATATGATGAAAACCATTGGAGAGATGATTGGTGAACTCTTTAGTCCTCGACCTTCAACTATCAAATGGTTTGTACCTGCAAAAACAACTCTACTGTCAAAGTTAGCATCACAGTGATTGAGTGTATCATGTATGTTATGCAACTTATGAAAATCTGATGTAAATATATTTATAGGTAAAAGGATGTTGCCATTGGGGATTTGACCATTAAATGCATTGAAGAATCTTTATTATATTGTAACCGTTGAACTTTACTCTCCGTGATGATTACGACAAGGTAATTAACCAAACTAAATACTTCTCAACCTTATAAATTGCTTGTTTAGTATCTTTATGGAATCGATAACTGACAACATTTCAACCTCAAAACCTCTCCAATATACATGTATCTATCAATTATGCTTGTTATTGATTATTTGTATTTTGTATTATTTAAAATTTATACACTACAACAAAAAATATTATTAATGACAATTATTTAGTGTCAATAAGACAATTGCCCGCATATCATTATTAACTAAAGTTTTTAGTGGCCAATAAAAATTAATCGGTAAAACTTTATTTATAGTGGTAATTTTTAAAAATTGTCGTTACTATTACATTTTCATTTGTTTGTTTTTTTTTCAAAATTTCTCACACTCTTGATACAGACATTTTGACCGAAAGAAATTAAAAAAATTAAAAATTTTTGGAAATAAATTATTTAAAAACAATTTCCCAAAATGAATAATTTCAGCCACGTGGACTCTTAAAAACGTAAAAAAAACAGGATGTAGTGCATGAAAGTATAAAAGACGTCACGAAATGTGACATTTTGTGCACAATTTGTAACAAAACTTAAATCTCCAACTAATGTGACGTGTTGTGCACAACTTGAAGCAAAACTAAAAATGCCAGCTAATGTGACGTGTTGTGCAGCCCAAATCCCGTGACTCCATGCAGAGTAGTCACTTCCATCCAATGTACTCACCTCCGTGCAAGCTGGAGTAGATGTAGGCTCCCGTGACTCCGATTTAGTGGCTGGATGGAGTAGAAAATGTCAGATTCCTTGACATTTTGTTTACATGGAACCTACGGTCAAAGCTAGAACAAACAGTAGCAAATTGCAGCGAATCTTTCCCTTCTTTTCAAGGTGAAGCAGAAGAGTGAAGAGTGAGGGAGAGTGCTCGCACTACTCCATTTTAAAAGCAGAGTTGAGGGTGAGGGAGAGTGCTCACGGAGGGAGAAGAAAAAGAGTGAAGAAGTAGAAAAAAGAAGAGAAGAGAAAGAGAAGGAAAAAGAGAAGAAGAGGTAAGTTTAAATATTTAAATTTATTTTAATATTTTAAAGAATTATACTATTTTTATGTATAATTTGTAGTTTAAAAATATATTGGTGAGAAATTTATTGATGATTAAAATTTAGTATATGTGAAAATAATAAATTTTTAAGTATAATAAAGTATTAAAATTGTTATTTCTATGGTTTTAATTATATAATTTGAATGTAGTACTATAAGATTATTTTGATTAGGGTTTAAATTTTATTATGCTTAAATCTAATTTTAATAATAATACTAATAATATTTTGTTGTTTGCATTTATATTTTGAGGTGATAAATTTGATTATGTGAAATATTTGTTGATGGTTTAAATTTGTAGGAGTTTAGATTTGTTTAAGTATTTAGAAATAGAATAATGAATAATGAATAATTGTGGTTTATGATTTTAATTTTGATTTTGATGTTGAGGGATAGGATAGAAGAGTGATTAGGTTAAAAAATGAATAATGAATATTTGTTGATATTTTTAATTAAATTGAAGTTAAAAAATGTAAGTTATTTTTTTAATTAATTGTTGATATTTTATTTTCATGTATATTTAAAAATGTAGTTGTTTTAATAATAATAATAATATGTAAAATATTTATTGTTTTCATTTATATTTTTAGGTTATAAATATGTGTATGTGAAATATTTGTTGATATTGTTTATGATTTAAATTTTTAGGAGTTTAGTGAAATATATTTTTAGGCTATAGATTTATTTATGTGAAATATTTGTTGATCATTAGTTATAGTTTTAATTTGGAAATAATTTTGTTGTGTGGTATAAAATATAATTAATAAGAAATTAATTATTTTGTTAAATAAGTTGAAGTTAAAAAATAATTGTGTTGCTAATTAAAATAAAGTATTAATATTTTTGTTTGTATGGTTTTAATTATATAATTTTCATGTAGTAATATAAGATTAATATTTTTGTTAATTAAATTGAAGTTTTAAAATACTTGTTTCTATGGTTTTAATTATATTTAGGTGCTTAAATATTTATTATTTTAATTTAACGCGCACATTTTTTGAATTTGTATAATTTCAGAATGTCTCGTTAAAGAGTTAATCTGGGACCCATTGATGATTCTTTGCTGACTATGCAATCAATTCACGTCTCTGAACACATATGAATAGGGATGGCAAAATGGGCCAGCCGGTCTGTTTTGGCCCGGCTTGCCAAAAATGGGCCGGACCGGGCTGGCCCGCCAATGCAAAACGGGCTGGGGATGCTAACCCGCCCTGCCTAAGGATGGGCTGGCGGGTTGGCGGGCCAGCCCGCATACAAAAAAAATAAATAAAAATAATGGAAAAATATATATTTTATGTTCAAATAAATTTTTTTTGCTACAATTAAATAAATATAACCATATGAAATTAAAAATGCATACATATTGTACATAATATATGTTCAACAAAAGAAAATTACAAAAACAAGTTCAAATATAATTAATTAACTTTGAATTTTTATTTTAAGAATATTAGAAGCTTTCTTGGAAGAAGTTGTCTCTACTTTTTTTCTTGATCATCTTCATCCTCATTTTATACATCAAAATAAAATAAACATAAAAATAATTAAATTAAAAAAAAATGCAGGCCGGCGGGTTGTGACGGGTCGGCCCGCTATTTGGCCCGGCGGGTTGGCGGGGTGGGCTTGGCGGGTTGAAATGATGGGCCCAGCCCACCAATTTGTGATGGGCCAATGGGCTGGCCCGCGGGCCACGACCCACTTTTCCATCCCTACATATGGAATCGTGAACCTGATAGAGTTCTTAGTATTAGAAGAACTACCAAAAGTGGTCATCAAGATGGGTCAATTCCTGATGAAGTTAGACCTTATCTTGCACAAGAAGGGATGTTGGGAGTGACTGAAATGTCATACTTTCCTATTGACCACCAGTTAATTTCAGCATTAGTTGAGTGGTGGAGACCTGAAACACACACTTTTCACATGACATTTGGAGAGTGTACAATTACATTGGAAGATGTTTCAATTTTTCTTGATCTTAAGGTACATGGAGACCCAATTACTGGTTGTTCGACATATAGATGGGTTCCACTTGTTAAAGATTTATTCGGAATTACACCACCAACAACTTCAATTAAAGGTGGAAAGTTGAAGATGAGTTGGGTCGATCAATACTTTTTTGATGTTTCCATGCATGTACACATCATGCAACAAATAGAACGATATGCCCGAGCTTATATTTTGCGATTTCTTGGGGGTAAGTTATTCTCTGACAAGTCTTCAACTCTAGTACTGATGCGATATTTGGTCATGTTAACAAATTTAGACCAATACTTAGTTGGGGATCAGCCTTGCTTGGTCATTTATATAGAGAACCGTGTGTTGCCACTAATTATGACAATAAAGAAATTAGTGGGGCATGTGTTTTACTCCAATTGTGGGCATGGTACCGGATGCCATATTTTGCACTGCTGTCTGCACCACTAAATATTGTTGGCGTTCCTTTAGGTGCAAGGTAATATTTTAAATTAAATTGCATTATTAAATATTATATTTAAAATTAGATAAGTATTTTTAACATTAGTTAAGTAATTTTAATTAATTTGTGAATTTTTATATTTTCAGGTGGAATAGTGTCATGCAGGTAACGCAAAGAACTCTTGTTCAGATTCGTGATGCATTAGATAAGATGAAGGATAAAGATGTACGTTGAGAGTTTTTATTGATTACAACTTTAAAGTGGATATCTTAAAATTAGTATTAATTTATGACTTTTTGTATTTTTTATGTGTAGTTTGTTTGGCATACCTTCAATATTTTCATTCTCTACCACCATATTGTGTAGATAACACAAATATTTGGAGGGCGGTAGTGCCATTAATTGACTTTCATATAATTGAGTATCACCATGATGACTGTGTGATGCGCCAATTTGGTATGGTACAACACATTCCTCGTCCTCCACATCAACTAGATAATTTGCACTATCTAACTTTACGCTGTCTTTGTACATGAGTGGGAAACAATATTAGATTGTGTCTGGACACAAGAAGCTTGTACTACTACATGATTAAGTAGTAGTTCAGAGTACATGGTGTGGTATTATAGACACACCAGACGTTGGATTGGACATATTACTGCAAAACAAGGTTATGTAGTAAGTCATATATAACAATACATGTTTTATAATTAATTGTTTTGGTTACTTATATTTTTGTTTTATATTAAGTTGAACATGTAAACTTCACATTAATTTATTTACAGGAGGACACTATTGAGGAAATGTATCATAAAGCCAAAACAGAACCTAGAAGTAGTTTTTCAATGGAAGAATTGACTAATAACCTTGCTAACTGCTTAGAGGTTTATGGTGAATTCCATCGACTTTAATATCCCTTTACAGGTGCTCCACCACCATCACAAGACAAGCTTGAACTAGTTGTTGTGATGCAAATTGGTGCAAGCCGATGATAGGGTCGTGGCCTTGGACGTAGTTGCAGGTGTGTAGATCTGTGCCAGCAAATGACCCCCCTACAGGTAGTTATTACGCTTGTCCAATGACACCATCCAGGGGTTATAGTCAGTATGTATATACTTCAGGTGATACTAGTAGAGAAAGTCCTACTTCTGCTGCTTATGTTTCATTTCCATGTGAAACATATTTACCACCTTCATCTGGTGCATATGTTCCTTCTCCACCATCATACACTCCAGATGCTTATATGAGCAACGTGATGACTCCATCAGCACCTTATTATCCATTTAGATATGGTGGAGATGATATGCATGGTACTTCTTTAGGCGGAACTTCTTTTACAGGTACTTCTTTTGGTCAACTTACTTCTTTTGGACAGCCTGGTTTTGGACAATATGGATTTGGTTGTGATGCAATTTCAACTTGGCATGAATTTTTTCCTTTAAAGATTCAAATTCTAATCCACGATTTACACGAATTGTTTTCGTGTCACCTTTAAAAATGCAACCTTCATCATTGTTAATTCTACTACCATTATAATACAGTAAGCAAATGAAAGACAGTTTTAAAATAAAAGTAAAAATATGCAGAATCAAGAGATACAGATATGCAGAATGAACTAGAGACTTGTGGAATGAAAATATGAAATGAAGAGTTGTGGAATGCACAAACAAGAGAATAGTTCCTTCATCTATATATAATAAAACTTCTACTAAGAAGCTTTACGGATAGTCAACAATTATGAATTTACCTACACGCATAACCAGAGAAATAATGCAACTTTACATTCATGTGGATAAGACTTAACGTTCGCATGCAAATGGGACTTCACATTCACGACGCTGTATAGGGTGACATTTTCTGTTCTCTTTTTCTTACGTGGCAAAAATAATTTATTTTGGTAAATTGTTTTTCAATTAATTTATTTTAATAATTTTTTTAATTTTTTAATTTATTATGGCCAAAAAGCCCTTGATACATGACACATTTTCATTTTTTCTTTGTCTCACTTCTCACTGTCTCATCTCACTCTCACGCGATTTCAAGCTTCAGTCATGGTTCCTTCTATCTCTCGCGCATAACTTTAATGGCTGCGTCAACTCGTTCTCCTATTGGGATCCTCATATGGTAATATCTCTTGTGATTTTGGCTTCAATTCCAATTTTAGGTTTTGTTTTGTATGATTCATTTCTTCTTTTCCATTTCATACTCTTTCTCTATCTCCATCTCTTTCTGTTACAGAATGTGTTTCGATTTGATTGTGCCTTCTACCAAGTGAATTTTGCCATTGTTCTCTTTAGCCGAAGCTTGATGGTGTAGGAGTTTATGAGTAATACTCAATTTCAGATCTAGAATTATTAGCAGAGGTAATGAAGGACATGTCATGCTTTTTTTATTAATCTTTTAAATAAAAATAGTTATGTTTGTTTGATTTTAATCAAACTGTAGCAGTGGTTACTAGCATCCTTTTCCCTGTTACTAGCATCTTTTATAGTACTTATCTTCATTCATATTTAGAGCTTAATTTAGTACTTGTCTACAGTACTGATCACACAACACAAGTGACTGTGTAAATTTAGCTATTTAGGAGCTTTATGAGATTTAGGATCATGTGATTAGTGTAGCCCACTCTTTTCTTGTTGATTTTTCTGTTTCAAGACTAGTTGTTAAGCGACTTCTCATTTAATATTGTTACAAGAAATAATCTTAATCCAAAAACTTGGAATATAATATGCTACATAAACTTTAAATAGTCATAAATTGTAAACATTTGTATTTATTCTAGTTATGCCACTCAATGTATAATCTGCACTTAGCCAGGACAGGATTGAAGAAAATATAGGAAAAACTTAGACTGATAAGACAAAAAATTTATTTACATGCTCTGTGAAAGCTTATGGACATCCTCAAGTAACTATCTCTGACCTTGTGTATGTAATTAAAAGAAAATTAATGAAGCAAAAAATTGTACAAAAAATTTAACTAGTTGATGTAACATTGAGAAGACCTTCAACAAATGATCCTTAAATTGAGCATATATGTCAATGGGAGCATTAGGACCCACCACCTATGAAATATGACATTATAAGCTTTTGATTCATTGCATGCAAGATGTTTGATAAGCTTTAGGTTAGGATTGATCAATTGTCTCTCTTTTTCCTTTCCTTTTTCTTATTTATGGTTATTTGTCAGTTTTTCATGCTCAATTAAGAATCAGTTTGATAGTTTTGGAGCTATCTATTTTCAAATATCTCTTTATTTTTTTATTTTTAATTTTCTATTTTTTGTTATTTTGTGGGATCAAAATCTGTTATTCATATATATATATATATACAGGAGGACACTATTGA